CTTGCCTTATATTTAAATCTATATCAATACGTACAAGTGTTCTTAAGAGGAAGGGGTCATCAATTTTGAGGATAAAATTATCCCAGGTCTGAAGTTTATAGTTGCATATTTCTTTCCAAGTTCTGTTTTTCATACACTTTAAAATCAGTCGGCTGTGTCGATTACTTCCAAGATATGATGTAGGTTTTCTTATCAATCTATGCGTTTGAATTTTGAGGTGCGTGTACGTGACATATCCATGATGTATTGATAAAATTCTGTGATCATGTATTAAAAAGGCAACCAGATATATAATTATTTGTAAATATTAAAATATGTAGATGTATCATATACAGCTGTGCAGTATGCGTTTGTCATAATGTGATTTTGTGTGTGGAATGTGGAATGTGGAAAGATTCTTGTATGCTCACTTCCAGATAGGAAGTGAATTTATTCTCTCTCATGAAAAAAAAAAGTGCTGTGTAGTTCTGCTCCTGCAACTCAGGAATTTTTCCCTGGGATAAATGTATGCCCTGCATTTTGAGAAACTTTCAATATTCTTGATACTAGAGAAACTGTCTTGTCAGTGCTTAGTAATGTCCTACGGTATATGTACCTGAGGTGTGGACACCAGGCAGAGCCGGGTGTCGGGCGGGTATCAACAGAAACTCAGACGGCGCCTGCCCTTCGCGTTGAGCTGGCTTTGCCCAACTTCTGTTTATTTACCGATGGGGCCCCGTGGCGTACGTGTTTAAATTCATTTTGAAAGTTTACTGTTAAGCAAAAATGATGGTAATTGACTTTGAATTGCTATAACTTTTTACTGAAAAGAGGTAAAGGCCTCTCTTTTAAACAAGATATTGTCCTTGTGCCTGGGCATATTCCTGGAAAGGAACTGAAAATAATGTTTTTGACAAAATAATCATGTTTCTTAAATCTGTGATGTTAATCGATCCCAATTACATTAAAATTCCATTAAAGTTGGTATCAAAATGTAGATAATCTAATTCTTTCATATGACACCAAGCTGGTTCAAGGTTTTCTTCCAATATCATGTACAAAGTACTATTTTCCATCAAAATGGCCGTTTTTTTTGAAGCCCTCTCCGATTTAGGGGCAACTGCTACAAATTTTAATAAACACCTCTGAAATATTGTGTATTGTGATTTAAAAGTTTGAGCTTAGTTTGTGATGTAGTGGCAAACGAACCCCTCTTTTCTGTTTTTTTTGCCCTCTGCTTATACCTAAATTTGTTTTCCATCATACTATTGCCCTTGACATATTGAAAACAAATTCACACATTACTTTTTATAATTTTCAATATAAAACGAATGAAGAGCTGCTAGCTGCTAACATAGAGTAAGCCGATTTGCGGTCCATTGTCAACAACTCCAACAATGCACAACCATTTTCTGAACTATTGCCAGCATAAAAATTCTCACCCCTCTCTCTCTTAGAGACCATAGCTCTTTAAAATTGTTTGAATGATTTTGCAGGAAGAGCCTTATAGTGTGGTACGGTATGTCACTGAACAGCTCCCATAAGATTTTCGTGCCAAAGTTGATTTTTATTTGCATTTTTTTTATTCATTGGGGTCAAATTTTATATAAGCCATTTTGGACCCCCCAGGAAATGAGGGAGGGGTCTGAAAATTTGAACCCCATCATTTTTGGCCAATTGGGACCCTTATGAAGTCAAAACAGCAACAACAAAAAAAAAACAAAAAAAACTTTGGCATAAAAATCCTACGGGATTATATACCATACAGCACTATTAGTTTTGTCAATTTCAAGAAGAAAAGATCATCATAGCTTTGTAAAATAAATTCTGTTTAAAAAGTGCTTTAAAAAGATGACTTTTTGCTAGAGTAATGTATGTAAAGAAGGACAATTGAGGTGTTGCCACTTATAAGATGATAATATCTAACCTCTTTCAAACTAAACAAATTAAAGTTCACAAATTAGGGAAAAAAATGCTTGCAGTGAAATATTGAAGAAACAAATTAATAAGTTCATGCACAGGCAACAGAAACACAAACCACACTAACAAATACAGACAAAAGATATATTCTGTTGCTCTATCAGATTGTATTATAAGAAATTCAGATTCTTGCACACACACAGGAAAACACAGTAAAAATGGTGAAATGGGATCAAAACAATAGAGCAAAGAAACAACAAGACAAACATGCTGTTCAGTCATTGACACATCAACTATACATCACAAAATATGTTTAAAATGTGGCGCAAATAGCGCCTGCCCAGCAATGCATATTGTCAGTTGAAATTACTTTTTTTTCTTTCTTTCAAAGACAGTTGCATTCTAATTCTAAGTGACAAAGAAGCACCACACTTTACAGACCAGCTGGATTATCAGTACTTCTCCTCTAGCTCTCACTGTATCCAGCTTCAATATTTAGAAATGAAAGCCTCAAAATTATCTCCTTAAATGTGAAAGAGTATTTCTTTTACATAACGAAGAAAGGAGAAGAAAAAGAAATTGCAGTGGTATACTTATCCAATAAATGATGCCTCACATGAATCATTCTTGCTGAATCCAAAGGAGAAAATACAGAATACAAAACGCAGGATTTTTGGCAAACAAACACTTGGTAGCAACTAGACAACAAACAATAGTATGATTTCACTGCATAACCCTTAATAGTAGAGGGAGGGAATCACAAAAGGAAAGGAAGCTATCACAGTCTGCTCTTCCTACAATCAACAAGTTTAATAGTTCATCAAGATTTTCTGAGTCATCTGGATTATATTTATCATTTCTATTTTACCGCTAAAAACAATCAATCGTGTATAAAATTGTCACTATCCGGCAGCCAACAAGAAGAAGAAATGGTGACTTGGCTCATCCAGTAATATACATACATAAAAGCAAATGGAAATAACTGAAGAAAAAATTACATTATCAAATTTACATATCTACTGCACCGGTAGGAAGCAAATCTTAAATTGGTTGGATTGGTACGAGTGCACTTGTTAAATGTTTGCCTGGCCAGAAAACTCCCCAGGGAGTCAGTGGAGTGAATGCAATATCATGTGCGGATTAGCAATCAAATTAAATGACTGGCATACTAATTATAAGAGTGTAAAGCTCTTAGAAACATAACATTACACACTATACAAATGTGTCTATTATTATTATTATTATTGTTTTGCCCCCCCCCCCCCCCCCCGAACTATTATGCTGAATTAATGCCTCTGGATTTAATAATGTACAGTGAAATGTATACGGTCATGTTTGTGCACAGGCTATTAAAGTATATACACTTATTGCTTTAATATTTTAGTAGCTGGGAACTAGGAAAATGCCAATTGTAATTATAGGACCCTGTGTAATTATCATCGAAAAAATATCCTTTTTAAACAGCTAAAATTAGATGTGCTTCCATGAACGGTAACTAATATTATCTTATCTTCTCTGCCTTATAGCTGCATAGCATTTTACTTTGCAGTTACATTTCCAGTCTAATGTGACCTATCCCCAAGGTATTGACTCCTGTGTCAAACTTCATGTTATAAATGTGTAGGTCATTATCATGTCCTTTACAGATTCCTTGAGTTCTAGTAAGAATGAATGAATAAGTATGCATTTGTAGAGTGTCATAAAGTCATTCTACTGTACTTTGAAATGCATTCAGTGACAAATCTTGTGAACAAAATACCCCCCCCCCCCCCACAAAAAAAAAATACAAAAACCTTCATACATTGGTGGAAAATTACAGACTAACAAACACGACCACTTTGGACTTTGTATTGCATTATTGGGCCAAACCAGCTTGATTTCATATTTTTATTGCTGTAACTTGGCTGTCATTCATTTTCTTTTGAAATTGTGAGGCAGGTATCTTTATTTTTAATTTCGAATATTTAGGGTAGAGAACATTATTAGATTGTGCAAAAAAATAATCTACTTTATACCTAGAACTCAAAGCAGTTCCTTTAATGTACTCTCAACACAGACAATCCTGTGCAGGCAAGCACTACTTAATCCTTTCAAGGATTGTAACACAGTTTCCTCTAACACTGTACTTTAAAGGTACTATGTCCCATTTGCAGGCCCAAAAAATGAAAAAGTTAAATTCCAACTGCATTTGAAAGATAATACTAATTTAGAACTTCCCTAAAAAAGGTGGGGCTTGAAAATGTCTTCAAGTGGGAAAATAACGACTATTAGTTGTCAAATCGACTTTAAGGCTGTAGAGCCCAAAAGTAATAGTCTTGATTTTCAGACAATTGTACCGAATGGTCATACGTTTTATGCTGCGCAAAGATTCAATCAGTTTAATCTTGGCCATCACAAGAAGTGGGTTATTGATGTAGGCAAATGCTCATGTACCCTTTACAACTCTTTTCATGTATGTTATTACCAAAGAAGAAAAAAAAGCCAGTCAGTCACTCAAAAGTGTCTGACAGTGAAGTCTAGCAAGTAAATGGGTTTCCTTGCATAATTTGAATATGAGGACACTGCTAAGGTTTAAATTTCACAGATAGGACATACATGACATATTCATAATTCCTGCAAATTTCTACAGCATTTGAGGTTGGCTGCAAAAGAGACATAGTACCTTTAAACTTTTTCTGACTCTCAGTCATTTTGCATGTTATTCGACAAACATGTAAACCATGCCTGCCTTCAGATGCAAGGTGGGTATGTTTGGAGATGACTCAATGACTCAAAAAGTAAAAATAATTAGAAGAACAACCAAACATAAAACTTCTGATAGATAAAAAGCTCATCTACACCTGTGTTATTCACACATAGTAAAAACATTGCAAGTATCACAAATTAAAAGTAAATTTACCTGGGATATTAAAGCATTGTTAAAATTGTACAAAGCAGCTACAAGTACAAGTATCTTTTCCTATAGCCATGATTCAGTATGGGATGCATATCAAACTCATAATGCATGCCACGTCAACACTTTTAGAGGTACATGTACTATCAAACACATAGAACAAAACAACAAAATCAGTGTAGAATGCAGTGAATTGTCAATAAAGAAATTGTAGATAATATTTGTCCATCTCTATTATGCAAAAGAATGTGCATTTTCAACATTTAAAGATAGTAGACAGATTTGTTTCTGAACAGACAGAGCAATGATTATATTTTGAAAAAAGTGTCTCAGAAAAAAAGGCAATGCAAAATGCAAAATCAAGTACAGAATAAATTCTACAAACTTTGTAGGTAATGTTTGATAAAATTAGACTTGATTAGAATTTCACACTGCATTAAACAAGAACTATAAATTTGGTGTAAGGCCTTGCATTATGCATCAAATACCACAACGTCAAATACAAAGTATAAAGGTCAACAGTTGAGTGCTTTTTAAGATGATGTTGATTAATATCTCATTGCATTTTTTAAAAGACACCCTAATTGTCTTCCAACTCTTTGCTAAAGATTTATTCACGGTTACAATTTGAAGAAAAAAAAACTGATTTAAATGTTCATAAGTACCAAATGCTGTTGCTAGTCAATATGCTGCACTCATGTTCAGCATTGGTAAAACAATTAGGATGAACATCAAATCTTTCATGGAGTGAGTCATTTACAAATGAACCAATGCAACATGAAATCATAACCATGGTAACATTCAGAACGAAAGACACGATGCATCAGAGACATTTATGGGAAGCCAGGTGTGAAATAATGAGGAGAAAAATGACACATCACAAATGTTCCAACATCAAACTGCTGTACAGAATGTACATCATGCAACACACAAAACAAAGAAAAATAGGCAGATTGACAAGAGATTTCTACAGGTTTCACCAAATACAAATCCCTTGTCTCACTGTAGCATCAAGGACCTATTTCCATTGACCAACATAAAGATGATATAATTTCTTTTTGAGTACCAGTAGTTTATTTTGGACTATATAATGTGGTTGACAAAACTTTCTTGTTTTGATGATAATATCCAATGTGAAATACGTTCATGATCCCAGACACAATTGTAGACAATCATACAGGCTTGCCATCCACAATATTCACCTTTTAATCATCCCCTATATAATGAATGTAGAAGTCCACCTCACAATGTTGTAGAATGTGTAGTCTATAGAGGAAATTCCTCTTCATTACTACACATTAATCCTTTAATATGTTTGTCCTCTGCAGTGCAAGAAAATAATAGGAAGGAATCAATGGCCTTTGTTTCATTGCTCACACATATCAAACACTTTACTTCATTTCAATAAAAAGAGTGCGACCATTGAGAGAAGTCCTTTCAAGCTAGAGACTAGAGTTTATACTATACATGGCATGTATCATCAAAGCATTACAACTTAAGATAAAAGGCAATTTAAGGACAATGTGTGTGTGTGCGTGTGTGTGTGTGTGTGTGTGTGTTGAGGGGGTGTATAGGAGGCTAAATACATAAACTATCAGTGGGAATCACAAAACAGGATCTTGAAATAACTATTTCTTGAAATCTTTAATAATTCAAATCATAACTTGAAAGAGTAACATCAAATAAATAAATGCAGCCTGACTACATCCATAATGCACTCCTAACATTAAACGTCCTCTCGTTTTTAATCTAAATTACTTTTAAGATCTCATCAAAGGAGTTAAAAGGATTTGATTATCAGAGAAGGATAGCAATACCAAATCAACCATTTCACTTGATTTTGAAGGGTATTGAAGACTGCAAAATCGATATAATTAATTTCTTCTTTAAAAAAATCACTTATAACAGTAAAACACAGCCCCTAAAACATTTACTTTAGAAAATGTGTATTTTGAGAAAGCAAAGGCTAATGTTTAATATTCAACGATTTATTGGCTTTAGATGTATTCCCTTTTATGAATGACTTACTCTCTTATAAATATCTCACAAATGAAATTTCTATCTAAACCTACAATTCACAGAAAATTTACGATACATATTAACATCTCAAGAGGGGGACAATTCAAAGAACTCTGTGTTTCCCCCTTCTTTTGAGCTTTTATGGCTGTTAAACAAGAACATGGTCTCGGATCCTCTTGAAACAAAAAGAAATGGGAATTTTCAACATACAAGTAAACCAGTATTCTTTGGAAATAATCCAATTGTGGGGATACTTTGAGACTTACACTAGAGATATATCTGTGAGCTGTAAGAGTGGAAACAATTTTTATTAGTGAGATATTGAATGACTGAATGTGCCTTAATATGAGGAATACTGAAGTGATGAATAAATCATGAAAGGAACACAAAACAAAATGATTTCTCTAAAAATGCAGGCCCTCTAGTGAAAATTTGGGGGCTGTGTTCTACCCTGATAAAGGTGTCCCCACAAATCAGAACATGAAATAAATGTAATATTTTACTTACAGCTGTCACTGTTTTCAACACCATAAATCACCTGTCATCCTCATATAGTACGGTTAAAACAATAATTAAATTATCTGTTTGGAGCCAGAAGAGCATTAACTAATTGTGTAGAGAGTTAATGCCATTTTGTCCTCCAAACAGAAAATGTAATATCTCTTCAAAGTTAACCTACACAGATGACAAAGATAAACTCCTATACAGTTCAACATGGCCACCTTAAACAAGAATTTTGGAATGCAAGGAAGAAACATAAAATTCCCACTCTTGAATTTTATTCTAGGTGTGTAAGATCTGCACAATACACTCAAATATTGATTGCAGTGACAATGAGTGTCTTATTTTTCTGAATAAAACCATGAAAATGATTTTTCAGATTGATTTGATTAGTTTCTATTGAAACCCAATACTTCATCAAACATAACATCTTCCCAACTTATTCATTATCTGTAGTTCTTGTATTGGATTAAAGTTATTTTCTAAAATACATGTACATCATCTCAGAAACTATTGATGTACATTTTTCATAAAATAAAAACCTCACATAAATTGGTCCTATTTCAAAACAGTCATGAAAATGTTCTTATACAGCACCATTATCTTCTGTTGCTATGACAGGAGCACATGGTGTTGAATCAAATTTAAAATATGGTAAAAGGAGGATATTTTACTTGAAGCCTCTGGCAAGGGATCCAACACAGGCAAGATTAATATAGGTCTAAGAGAGATAAAAAAAATACGAACACTGCCATTATCAACATACTTCTCATAGAAATAGCATTCACAAGTTTTATAATTTGTCTTTCCCCAGGGGAAACAAAAGACTGAACAGAACCCATAAAAAGTGTTAGCTCATCATTATTTTAGGCCTACATGGATATTCTATTATCAAGCAGAAAACCAGAGGTTCACTCTGTGCTTTTATGTGTAGAATATTACATAAATGCTAGTTTGTTGTTATTGGATATTCAAGAGCATTAAAGGTACTATGTCCCATTTGCAGGCCAAACGAGTGAAAAGGTTAAATTCCACTGGCATTTGAAAGATAACACTAATTTCGAACATCCCTCAAAACAAAAGGGCTTGAAAATGTCTTTTTGTGGGAAGATTACGACCATCAATTGTTGAATTGACTTTAGGGATTGCAATCCTTTTAGTAAATAGTCGTATTTTCAGACCCTTTGACAGAATGATGTACGTTTTGTGCTGCACAAAGATTCAATCACTTTAGTTTTGGCTATTACAAGAGGTGGGTTATCGATGGAGACAAATGCTCATGAACCCTTTACATCTCATTTTATGTATGTTATTACCAAAGAAAAAATGAAGTCAGTCAGTCACTCAATAGTGTCAGACAGTGAAGTCTAAAATGTAAAGGGTTTCCTTGAATAATTTGAATACTAAGACACTGCTAATGTTTAAATTTCACAGATAGGACATACATGACATATTCATAATTTCCTGCAAAGTTCTACAGAATTTGAAGTTGGCTGCAAATGGGACATAGTACCTTTAATGTGTCCTGTATAGTTCTTCTTTCAACATCTTTAGATTGTTTCATAACTCATGCATATTTAAGCTATCCATAAAAAATGAAGGAGAATATCTTTCTGTCAAAATGTTGTAAATGAGAAAAATACATTACCACTGCATGACATTATAGAAGGAAAATGATGTTGATGTGAGAGGGTTTGGATGAAGAAGCTCACACAGTTATCATACAACTTTGGGTAGCTTCAATAGGATGTCAGTTGGAATAACAGTTTGCACGAGAGCATCAGAGCACCATGCCAATCTATGCTCTACAAAACCATGAAAAGCGGCTAGAAGGAAGAGCATGACTTGAACTAACTACATATCATGGTGTGCTTATCTTTCTTTAAAAACTCCAGTGCATCTATTACATATCTGTGAATCATATACTGTACAAACATTCCCTGGAACCACAATGTGCATCATCCATATCTTTCTATACACAATGCAGGCTAGGTTTTGTTATCAAAATAACAGAAAATCACCATCATTCTTATATTACAGCTCTGTAAATTCTCAACTATCACAAGTCTAGTTTCTAGAACACTAGGTATATACTACAATATCTTCATTCCCATAAGCACACAAATTTGATCAAATTGTGCAATTAAAAACAGATTCTTCACACTGCCATTTAAAATTTCAAGGAAACCTTGATTAAAACACAAGTCATTTGCACTTGTGCATTTCCCTATATGAGATTAAGGGCTACCAACATTGTGTAATAAAAAATACTCATAAGTGATCTCATCTCATTCTGTATTAGTACATAAGGGATGTTTACTGCAATAATGGATTTCTTTCCTGAATTACCATCAATCTCAATGGTGACTTCACTTCACCAAATCCAGTTGGCGATTCTTTATCTAAAATAAATAACATAACTAATACTAATCCTAAATCTAAGGATTTATTACAGGTAAACTTATATTCTTACTAAAATATAATGATGTGAGACAGTGCTAACAATAGCATGGATGACTTCACGATGGGCACGGTTCTGAAAATTCTGCTTTCGTTAATACCAGGGATGTTGATAAGTCAACAATAACAAATCTACAAACAAAGACAATGCATGAGGCATCCCTTAAACAATACAAAATTATCCACAGTCCCATCAAAGGCTGAGTCATCTAGACAAAGTAATTCTGGTGTATGCTAAATACCACACTCCAGAGTTGAAAGAGAGGTACTACTTGTACCCATTTGCCAAGGAGTTGGAGGCAGTTCAAAGCCCTGATCTTCAATATCTTGGAACATTTTATCTGAAAATTCTTCTATCATCATTCCATCACTAATGGATGAGGCTGTACTGTTAGATGTATCATTGAATGCCTGATTGGGGAGAAGAGTTTGGTTAGGAGCAAGATGGTTTGAGTTCCCATTCTGCTGATCCGTCATCTCATCATACTTCATGTTGAAGTCAGCTAGCTGGGAGCCGACATTTGTATCCGTTGCCACTGAGGTTTCAACTTGTTCACCAGACCAGTTGGTTTCACCAAGACTGTGACTTGGTTGAAGATTAGATCCAGAGTTGATTTCAGTATTCAAAAGGGTTTCAGGAGCAAAATCCTCTTCCGTCACTTCTAGGTTGAGCAGATCTTGAGTAAGATTGCGTTTTGCCGTGAATCCATTGGTAGGATGAATCTGTCTGACTTGGTCTTCTAACTGCACAGGTATAATCTGCATCTGAGATGAAGTAATCTGATTGCTCACCACAGGGTTCTGATTGGTTATAACTTCTGGCTGAGTTGGGAGCTGGAGCCTAGAAAACCTATTGGCTGGTTGCTCTGGTAAAGGAACAGACTGACTGCGGTTCTGTAAAGCTTTTTTATCTAGCATAGCTTGTAGGCTAGGATTAACATTCAGAAGGTTCAAAAGTTCTATTTCTGCATCTCCATACATCTGCATGTTTACATTAGAAGAGGCAGGACCAGAGGGATTGCGTCTCCTTTGCAACGTAGCCTGCTGATTCTGTAAGCTTCCTCCAAGGAATTGAGAAGGGATTTGAATGTTTCCAGTACCAACAGCAGAACCCTGATTAACACCTTGTTGGCTTGTTTGAATATAAAATCTAGATTGCTGTTTGGTAAGCTGATTCGTACCTGGAGACGTCACATTCTGACGGACTTGGACCTGGTTCTGGAACTGAACAGCACTTGGGCTTGCAGCAGCTACCCTCTTTGAATTACTGGAGAGACGGCGTTTGCGATTGGGTGTCAAAAACTCAGATTGCTGAGAACGCTTTCCCTTACTCTTACTCTGATTAAACTCTTGTACGTCATTGCCTACAAGAGCTTGTGTTAATGCACTCCTCACAGTGGGATGGGTTGGTTTGGGTTTATGCTTTGGTTTCAGAGGACTCTCTCCACCCTCAAACTCAATTGTGTTTATTGGAGTGAATGCAAATGACTTCCCATCAACAGGGCTAGGTGGTACACTGTCTCCTCCTTGTTGTACAGGAATAGCTGCACTCTGGGCCCGCATCATCATGTGAGGTGGTGGAGACTGCAACTCTGCTATTGGTGTAGTAGGAACAGACCGAGCACTGCGTATCTCATTCTGGGGAGTACTAATATAAGACAGATTTTCAGAGGCTAATAACCTTTCAAGCATCTTAGGCTGTGATGCCCGGATCTGCGTCAACTGTTGCATCTTAGAGACTTGTCTCAGGGGCAGGGATACACTGACATCTGTTTGCTGGTTTTGACTGGTTCGAATGGCCAGACTACTCTGTGGTAACTGACTTATGAGCTGTGTGTCAGGGGACTTGGATTTGTGAGGAAGCATGGTGGCAGCAGACATGCCTGAAACCATCAGCATGGTGTTATTACTATGATCCGCATCGGTCAACAAGGACACAGAGGGTTGTGTCACCAACTGGTTCAGTACATTAGCATCTTCCACTGAAATAGTTTCGAGGGCCAAACCACCTTTATTTGCCTGTTGCTGAATGTTCCCCTGCTCTGTAAGAATGTCTGTCAGGATGCTTCTTTGTTGCAAGGATGAAAGCTCCTGAGAATTCACAATTACTGGGCCAATACTACCCATCGCTGATGTAAGAGCATTCCTCTCATTGGACAGAGCAGGGTTACCAGCATCTCCAGCGGTCGCTTGGATCACATAATGCTGCACCTTATTTCCATCCTGTTGCCTTGACAGATTTTGCACTTGTGCCAAGACCAAATTTGTTGAGGAGTCTACAACTGCAGTACTGGGTACAGCCAGCTTTGGTAATGCCACTGAAGAAGATGCCAATGATGAAAAGGCCTGAGCATTTTTTAGTAAGCTGGCAACAGTCTTGCTCCCAGAGTTCTGCAAGATACTAGCCTTGGAGCTTCCTCCAACGCACCTTCCCACATCTGATTGCACAACATTACCAGTTTTAATAGTTCTACCAGCTGGTGTACCCTTTTCAAGCTTGTTAGCATGGAGTGTCGAATTTATTACAGTAAACTGAGAGGGAGCTGTCTTATTTGGATCGACCCCACTCTGAGATGCATTAGACAAAATGTGATTACCCTGGAATGCATCAGAACCTATTACAGCTACAGAAGAAGGTAATTTCATTGGTTGGGTTGCAAATGTTACAGACGTTTTCAACATTGAGCTATCGCTTGTGGCTATCGACTGGGAGAGTGGTAGGTGCACAAGAGCGGATGAAGCATTTCGAACCAAGATATTGGCTGGGGATGCAAGCTTTGAGGCTTGTGTCATCACATTGACAGGGCTGGTCAAAGTTGGAGCTGAGGCTGGGGCAGTTCTGTCAAAGAAGACTGGAGTCACATTTTGTGATCTTACATTGCTAGTACCCGTGTTATATGTGATTCCCTGAGATGACAGGCCAGTCTTCTGGCAAGCAACAGGCTGTCCCTGATTCTGTCTTATTGCAGCACTTGTATTAGTGACAGTCTGAAGACCACTCCGCAACTGTTTAAGTGTGTTTCCTACAAGAACATATTGTCCACTCTTGATGGCACTCTGAATACTATTTGCTGGTATGACTGGACTACTGAGGACAGTATTGCCTACTACTGGACTGTTTACAACATTAACTGGTGTTTGATTACCCATTGCTGATACAGACTGGACTGGACTCTGAAATACATTCTGTCCAGGCTGCAATATCACATTCATTTGCTGAGGACTTGTAAGTTTTGATATACCCTGCACTGGAATGACTTTCTGTCTGTTCATGACAACTAGTTGCATCGGTTGTCCATTTACATTCTTGGCTGATGGACTTATTAGTACCATTGGTGCACCAGTGTCTCTAACCGGCGTCTTTGGTTGTATTGGAGCAAAACGTCTCTTGCTTGGGCTTTCTTTGGATGCAACATTGGTACCTTCTCCAACAGAAGCATTACTTGAAGACAAATGATTCTCTGGGTTAGTACTGCTCTCACCACTCTCCGACAATGTTATAGAGTTTCCAACTGAACTTTCACTAAAAGCCGGCACATCTCTCTGTTCTAGTTGTGTAGCCTTGTCAGTGCGCATTACTTGTAAGGAGAGGTTGTCCTCAGCAGTAAGGTGTTTGCTGCTGACTGGACTTGAATGCAGCCTATGTTGGTTCTCCTCTGCCTGCTTTTTGCGGATTTCTCGTCGATACTGCAACGTCTGCTTCAAGTGGTAGTTCGTCTCTCGGTGTCGCATCTCTGGAGTTAGATCAGGCCTAGGAACTTCACCCATGTGCTTCTGGACAATGAGGATGGACTTGGAGCTCTTGGTGACTAACTTGTTATTCGTGAGATGCTGGGCCAGCTGCAGGCTGTTGGCGAAGGTCTTGTTGGCAATCCCTGTTGCCCATTCACAAATGACATGTGAAGCAGCTTTCTGGAGATGATCATCCTCTCCTTGAAGCAAAGACTTAGGACAGCCTGGACATGTTGTCTGAAGACAATCAACCTGCAGAAATGTCAAAAACATGCAGTGAAAAAAGGGTGAATGAATTTTGCATTGTAATTTAGGTGCAAAGACCATTGAATTGCTCCCATGCAGGACACTTTACATCAATAACACTTTACTGGTGGGAGATTTTATAATAATAATTATAATTATATTTGCTTATATAGCGCCTAACACTTACTTTATCAGAAGTCTCTAAGCGCTCTACAAATAATGCAGCATAATTACCCTGGCTTTGGCAGTGCAGCTGGGTGGAGTGTGGCAATTATAGATCAATGTCTTGCCAAAGGACATTAGTGCCACGGCAGGACTCAAACCGCGGACCTTATAATCGACAGTCCAGCGATGAATCCACTTGACTTTTATCAATCTCAATCAACAACAAAAACAAAAAAAATCTTAATTTATTATGAAACTTTCCCTAACTTGCTGCTCTGATAATTTTTTCCTATCTCATCAAATGTGATAAGGAGCCCTAAAATCTGACAAAAGCTGAAATATGACTTCATCTCTAACAATGAGAAAGACCGTAATTATAGGGTTTGTGACTCACCCCTAGTTTGACGATAGGAGCATCTAGCGGTGGGAGTGATGGGGACGTCAATTCAAGCTTCTTTCTCATGCCACTGTAGCAATACGTGCAATTGTAGTCAAGGTATAATAAACATTCATATCACCCTCCAGCATCAAAATACTTCCATCTTAATTTTTATTAATAAGTTTATTTTTGTTCTTTAAAAACAATATCTAAGGCTCTCTGAATACATCGGAAAAATAAGGTTTCAGTTTCACGCTATACACTGATTACACTCTACAATTTTTTTAATTTTTTTTTTGGAGGGGGGGGGGGGGATATTTTACACTAGTTTTCTGAGGGTTTTCTGAAAAAAAATTATACTCAGAAAATGAATATTAAAAAAAAAACAGCATTTCCCCCCTTTTTTTGGGGGGGGGGGGGGGGGAGTTATCTACCGTAGTAACCTTTTCTTGCTTACTTAGCTGTTTATTCAAAATTTAACTAATTATAAGTCAAATGATTCCAAAATATTCTAACTTTAACTTTGGTATGACTGCCACAATGAAACTAAAACAAATAAAGCCACTTTTAAAGTGAATTTGTCAAATGTGCTGATGGAAACAGCAGAGGCATACCACAGATTTCTTTTTTTGAACCTGTTGCCTTCACAAACTGGGTGGTTCCTACAGTATGTTAAGCCCATGGGAATGAGACAACTCACTACTCAATGGGTGAATCGTACTGTGCTCCATATTTTCGTATCCTATGAGTGAAAATGAGTGAGTATGAGTAGTACAATGAATCTTTGATGTGCACAGCTGCTTTTTCATTCCCACTTGCTATTCTATATATGATTACACAGAATAAACCGAATGTGAACGAGCCTGTACTGGTATTAAATACAGTGTTGAAAATAGACAGATGATGACCTCGGTTCATCTTGTACTAAAAAGGATATCTTGAGTTGCCTCTGGTGCCTAGACGCCTTGCTTGAACAGCAGGAAACACACCCTTGATGATCTTACCAAAGTCTGCAGTGCTTAGAGGTCGGTGGCCAGAATTTTCACAGAAAGTCCTGCAGGCAAAACAATAATAAAAAGATAGAAACATATAACAGTATAACATCTTATGTTTGTACATGCACATTCATTATATGATTTACAATATCATCTACAAAATTCAGGCAAACTATTTTTCTGAAAAACGGAAGAGCATTGAAGCGGGGCTGCACTAGTTGTAGCTACTTGCGCCCTCTATATTTGTATGCTACTATTCAATCAGCTTGTAGACAGTACCATAGTTATGAAACTGCTCTTGTAAGGGTTGTAAATGACATTCTTCTATACCTTCTATACCCTGCTGTACAGTTTGCAGATTTCTGTCGAACCGAACCAAACCTGAACATGGCGACTGACTAAACAGCACTAGCTTGTACGTACATGACATATTGAACATGTATAGAATGCTTCAGAATTCAATATGATATGACCAATTATAAATTTACTATACCAGTGTTTACAGTATTTCACTGACACTGCAGACAGGGGTTGAAAGTATGCTCACTAAATATGGAGCTGAATAGCTGTCGCATAGGATATGCATGTAATATTTGCTGTATGAAATGTATGTGTATTTGAAATTACAAGCCTTGCTTCTACTCAACACCCCATCATACTGACATGCCCCAGAGTTTCGAGCATACCAGCTACCACATATGGGGTTTGCAAAGAGACGATTGGATGCTTGCTCTGCAACTGTACACAAATATTATTAATTTATAAGCACCATGAGCACCGAAAAGTGGACCTGTGCGCTATACAAGTAGCCACTATTATTATTATTATTATTATTATAATGCACTTTGTGCATACTACATTTTTTAATCAACATTAAACATGAACACAATTCAGCAAATGAGATAACTGCTTAAAAATAAATAATTTTGTATCATTAATTCATGTAGCCTAGAACTACCACTCTACCAGGAACTTATACATCAGTGCATCATAAATTGGGATCAATATAAATTTACTCCTGCAATTGCATCAAGGTTTAGCCATATACACACATGTACATAAATATTTACTGCAAATTGATAAGATATATACATGTACATGTATTGGTTGAAGATAGGAAGGAAATACTTGGAGAACTAACAATCTGTGTATGTCTTGCCAAGCAGGGAAGTGATGCTATATAATGTGCATAAACCAACCCTGACCTTATTATACATCTGGCAAATTTACTAACACATAGAGTTGTAGGGCACAATGCACAGTAAGAAGGAAATACAGAATGATTTGATTATAGTCTGCATAACTGACAGACTTTTAATTTGAAATCCACAGCCCAAAGATATGATGTTGTTATAATCATTGAAAGCCATTTCCCAACATTTTTGCAAAGCAGTGAATGCCAGACTTATGGATCAATATATTTCCATTATCTGGTCATTATAGCACTGGTGTTAATGTCTGGCTACATGGCAACCTGTGAATGAATACATCCCTGGCTCTTCAAATGTGAGTGAACAGTATACCCAGTTTGGTGCTGTTTTTCCTATAGGGCCGCGTTTACCACATGTTTACCTGGATTCCAAAACAACATAGGTATCTTTTTCTTTTTTTTTTAGGGAGATTTCGACTTTTAAGATCCCTTTTTACTTGGGGATGACCCCTACATCTTCTATATATATCACCTTCCAATGAGAATTAAAATTCATAATTACATGCAGCTTGCACTGCAAATGGCATGAGAAATAATCAAATAAACGAAACTATTCACAAAGGAAGAGCTACTATTAGGTCCAGGGTGATGACCCAAAATTACATGTAGATTCCAAGAGCAATAACGTCCTTTGTTTTCATCACATCTTGAAGGACAGCCTTTTTCTAGCTCATTGGAGAGCTACTTGCATGGGGAATTAGATAGCTGCAAATTTGTATTTGACTGATTAAAACATGAAAACTTCCTAGCTTTCTTATCATTTATCAGATTTTCTAAAACTTATAGTAAGATGTTTCTCTCCTTCTGTGTTTTAAACATCACCTTGGTGTCATGGTTGACTTCCTCTGTAATAGAAACTTCAAAATCAGCTGATTCTGGAAGAAGTTTCCTGCTTGTATTACTGCATTTTTTCTGTTCTGTTTTCACTTTTGATAGCAGATTAGTCAATTCCGTAACAATTTTTGGAAAAGTAAATATGAATTCTTAGGAAAATTGTAACATTCCCTTTGCAATGATGCAAACATTATTAAGGTTACAAGCGTTTTTAAACCTTCGCTCTAGTACTTTAAACAAATATACTGTGGTCTGTGGAGGTTCTCCCGGCTGCTGTACCTTTGGACCAGGTGGGGCTCTAAGCTGCTCTGCTGGCTGGCTGGCTTGAGCATGGTGGTGTCAGTGGGATGTTTTTGGTGGTCTCTAATAGCGCTGTCACCTCGATGTCTTATTCTTCATGGATTAACATTGTTTAGGACACCAAATTGCAACCTTTATATGTCTTAGACCTTAGATTTTGTTTTCAACCTTTTCTGCCACTTTTAGTTTTTATTCATTAATGTTTTTGTTCCTCATTATTATTATTACTGTAATCATTATATAATTACTTTGTGAGCACTTAAATTTTATTGATTTAATCAAACATAAAAATACCCCCCCCCCCCCAAAGTATGGTGCTTGTATATGAAGAGATATCTTACCTGTATTCTTCATAGACCTCCTGCTTTGGAAGGGATGTATCAGGACTCTCTTCTATGTGACTCCTTACCCAGTTCACAGCCGTCATCTGGTCCATTCGACAACTGCTTAGCATCGGCGATGAGCTGTCAACAAGGAGAAATACAATTTATCATTGGTATGCATGCAGTATAGTAGGATGTAGGTTGAAAAAGATAAAACCCAAGGTTTATCAGACTAATGGTTCACTCTTCCCCCCCAAAACCTGAAGTCTTTTATTTCATAGTCTCCTGAAACTTCAAACTGTATTGGTAGATGTCAGATATTCCAATTCAACAGACATTAACCTTTCCATCTCTTGGAGGTATTTTAGCCACCTTTCAGAGGGTTCACAAGATCAACGGCCGACAAGACTGCCCACAAGATGAACATTTTTCCTTTGTATACATTGTTGCGTTTCTTCTTTTTATTTGTCAGTTACATGGGCTGCCTGGTTTGTTGACCTACATGTATTGAAACTTGCTATCCTTCTATATCACTATACATATTTCTTTTGTTTTTTGGTCTAGAGGGATGTTATTATCATGGACCTTCCTGAGCTTTGGTCTTGTGCGCTGTCAAAATAAAGGGATCAACATTTGGAACAAAGAAGTGAAACTTTATAAAATGAGTAGAACTAGGTTTAGACACTTTACAATTTAAGATAAAAGAAAAGAATTAGGTATGTTATTTCTGATAAGGTTATTTCCCATAGCAAAATTCTATTTTAAAAAAAATTATAAAAAAAACTATAGTATACTAAGTATACATAAAAGAGTTCAAGCCTCCCATCAATGCAACCACATCTTTTATGCGTTTGTATTTTAACAGTCCATGACCTTTAAACTTAATTGTATTTGAAATGTTGTACCCAATAGAAGAAAAAAATAATCTGGCAGAAAGAAAGCGCTGTTAAATAAGCTGTGCAGATAATGAGTATTTTTAAACTCAGAGCACAGACCCTACCACAAGAAAAATAAATGCCCTTCCTTTGACATATATATAATAATTGCTGGAGCATGAAATAGTTTTGTTAGCTCTCTATTTTTAAATTCATCGTCCTCAATTCTGTACGCGCGTTTTGCTATATGATGATTCTTTATATGACATTCTCTTTTTTTATATTTAACAGTTACCGAAACTGTTTTAGCTTTCATATAGGCAAACTGTCCGCCTCATCACAATGTTATATATTGAAGCATTATCCATATGGGCCTCTCTAGACAAGTCAGGACATGTTTCAGACAAATAAGTTCAGGTAGAGGTCATGGATGTACGTCACATGTAAAAGCTCAACTTTAATAGGTAAAGAGACGGGGATAAATTTCCATTTCAAAATGCTCCTGTACAGATGCCATGTTCATCGTATATAAGGGAGTACCGGTACCAAACAAATGTCCTGCAATTGTTTGATGAACTCTAATCAAGCAAAAATGAAGCAAAAATATAACATGTAAGAGGGAAAAAATAATAAATGAATATTGGATGTGGGGTGGTCCCAGTTGAGGTCATGACCGTACATGCCTGAAAAGAAAAAAACTCAGGGAAATTCAAAATATTGAAGAAAAAAATAGACTTTCAAAATCAGGGATTCATCAATAGATGAATAATAATTAATAATAATAATATTCCGCTTTTATATATAGCGCCCAATACATTGATACAACGATGTGTCTAAGCACTTTACAGATATATTATTACCCCGGTCATCGGCTTCATGCTTACCCGCACACAATGTATGCACATTCTCCACTCCCTGGAGACCATTCTGGCCAGTCGCCATTTAACAAGCGCACACTTGCTCATCCAACACATTAACTTTCGCATCCTACCGGGTACCCATTTAACACCTGGGTGCAGAGTGGCAAATGTAGATAACGTCTTTCTAAAGGACATTAGTGCTGCGGCGGGACTCGAACCCTGTACCTTGTGATCTGCAGTCGGGTGAATTATCCACTAGACTACAACACCTCTAAATGACAGAGTATTACTATCTTTTATTTAAAAATGATTTCTGACACATTTCACCTGAGTAAAGGTTTAATTCTTTCTAATCTGCACAAGACAATTTTGAGGTATGTACTAAGTCAAAGCAATATAATGACACACACATAGAAATTAGTGCGTAAAATGGAAGAAAATGGATTCAGGCTCTGATCGCCATGGCCTACACATATTTCTTGTTCTCTTTTTTTGATAAAATGTGACTAGCTCCTGTGAAGTCATTATAAATAAGGATTACCGTATGCTCAAGGTCTCAACATCCTTATAGCATGTAGATCAGAAAACATGATGTGAGCGTGCAGTGGTGATTGGCCAGCTGTTATGTCAATTGACCTCTTCAATAATTTTATCTTTATATGATATAAACTAGTCTGAATGTTCCTTTGGCTTTATGAGTATTCTTTATACATGTGTACAATGTGTACTAATTTCACTTCTTCTGAACAGCTAATACATGTGGCCCCATTGCACAAAACTTACCATTGATGGTAACTTTGCCATATATTGTAAGTACCATAGAAACCTTGATTTTGATTGGCTGTTGAGCCATGTTACCATGGTAGTTGCCATTAATGGTAAGTTTTATGCAACAGGGGCCCAGGTCTGCCTATCGAACAGATTTTCAATGATATTCTCCCATGCAATGAACAGAGTCAATTGCATATTAATCTTTAGTTTCAAAAACTGTTTTCTGTGTCTGATATTCCCTTTGTCTAATGTATTCCATTTGTGTATTGGCATTACAACCTTTGTAAATGGTTGTCATGTCTTTACAGGGCCCACCAGTACTGATTTACTACTATCATTAAACAAATCTTAACTGCAGATTTCTTTTCTTTAAAAGCTAGAAAATATTGCCTAAATGTCCCGCGCAATACACACAGAATGACTCTTCATCAAATAGGGATGAAAACTTGTAAGCCTTGCATCCTGATGTATTCAACATAGACTTGGAGAAGAGCTGAGCACAGAGGGAGGGAGGGAGAAGAAGTAATCATGGAGGGAGAAGGGTTTTGATTAGAATACCTTTTACTGGATACGTCCTGTTCAGGGCTGCCTGAAGGAAGCTGAAGATACAGCAATAGCTTCTGCTTGTCATCCAGTTTCCTGATGTCAGCCTAGCAAGAGAAAAACACATGGAGGAGACCATAGACAAGATGGCAATTTATATAAATATCATACCGGTACTTCAGGGTCACTCAAATAATGAGCTTCACATATACATGTATATCTATATTTGATACTCCCATTCCCAACAGTAATTTTGGTAACTGAGGTCTGCATGTGGACAAGAAATTTGAAAGGCTACATGTACATGAATCAGCTTTTATCTTCTTCAAATCAGCAGCACTAGTATACTAAACTATTCTAAAAAGTGAATCCAAGCAAGTTCACACGATCTGCTTTCTGAGCACGTGCACTTTCAAGTGCATGGGCAGAGATTATTATACATGTACGGTAGGTAGCTAGCAGGATGTGCAGACTACATGTAGCTGGCCTAATGAAGTAGGGGTACATGTAAGAAACTACCTAAGCATGGGTATGCATGGGGAAATTCAAACGTTCAGATATATCAATCATTTGTTAAGAACCTCAAAACGTAGCTCTGCAAACATATTCACATTGTTAATGCCTCTAGGACTTATAGAAGAATATTTTCTTGAATTATTGTTGCTTGCTGTGGCGTACTTTCAGTCATTTTGAGAGTGTTTGAGATATGATGTCAGTTTTGGTTGTATGGGGACACATAGCCATATGCAGCCAATATTGCTTTACGATGACGTGGGGGCTAGCTGCACTGGTTGAGCATGCAAGCAATCAACACAGGGTTTGCCGAGGTAAACTAAGATGAGTTATTGGTAGAGTTTGGAGTTGAGTGAAGGTTCTTTGATTTTGAATTCGACTGAATTTGGTATCATTGCAATTGTTAGCTTGTACACAAAGTAAGAATATTGCATTTGTTTACGGGAGAACTAAACCGATTGGAACATCGATTGGTGATCTAAATGGGCCTATAACTTCCTACATACCCCTAGGAGCCATATATATGAAAGATTCACCAAAAGAGAGAAAATTTGTACAATTTGAGGGTCTTAAGTAGGCGAATTGGCATATGTGTCAGGGTCGGAAATACATAGGAGCGACAGGCTACTTCGCCCTTGTGTATAAAATAGCCCCCTAAAATCCTGAAAACTGTTCTTGAAAGGTAGGAAGAGTCGCCACGATATGTCACTTCTGATTCTGATTGCCCATGCACTGATAACCGCCTAGCCTTTGAACAAGGCCACCTGTCTGATAGCAACGAGCGACTAAAAAGAGACTAATCGCGAAAGCCCAAGTGAACGACAGAGCGAGAATCACAGCCAGTTAGCCTTTGGTAATCTGGTTTTGATTTCTTATGTTAACCTTTGTTTCCGACTGGAATACTCTACCGAAATAGTAGAACGTTGAGGAGTATCCCAGAAGAAGAAGAAGTAGCGTCCAATCACCAAACATATCCTCGCATTACGTCAGCATATAGTATCCATCACACACACACACACACACGGAGTAAACTGTATGTATAGTACAAACACGGACCTACTAAGTTAACTACTGACGTTCATAGTTCACACACACACACACACACTGACGTTCGGGCTAAGACTGGGGGATCCGTTCTAATTGGTCAATAAATCCAATGCTATGAATAATTCATGCGGAGCAGTAATATCTACATTGCAAAAGGCTCTCGTGGCGGTCGCGCGTTCACCCTGGGTATCTAGACTCATCTCAGCCGCTTAGCCAGAGTCACGAGGCCTTGTCAAAAGGCTAATAATCGCCCGGCTCCAGCCACAATGGACACAGGTTTGCAGCTCAATGATGCATCGCCCTACGAGCCCGCACACACGATCCAAGTACTGGCAATATAATGCATGCATGGCTGTGCGCGTACCGATATGATGTCAACACCACATGTACAATGCTAACGCGTGCTTCATACAAAGTACCGTATCATACCCATATTATGCATGATGCAAATAAGAATTTATGAAAGGCGTCCATCAGTACTGAACTGCTAGCGACCAAATTGGTACGAAATATGTTTATTCAGTCGTTTTTTGTTGTTGACATGGCAGGGAACAAAAATTGTTGTATATAAATACCTAGCCATTCTTTTGGTGATTTTACTCACATCATCAGATTTCCATGAAAAAATGGCTTCTATTAAGAGAATACTTGTAACTCCACGATAAATCATATTTACGCCAACAGTTTAAAGAGATGGCGCTGCTCAGATTTTTCTCTTCTTTTTTTTGCCGATGTTGTAGGAAGCACCCCTGGTCCATTTTCCAAAAACCCACACAATTTTTACTTTGAGGTGCAGTTGAAAGCGCCGATTTGTGCTTTTGAACTTGTCACAAATAATAGAAACAAAATTGTTTTTATAACTAAAGATGACAGACAAATTTTCTTATGATTCCAAACAAAAATCTGGACATTGGCAGCTAGTTTGGTCATAGTTTCTGAGTGGTGAGTTGACATTGACACCCCGTGTATGATTGAACTTGGCAACATTTTTACTCACGGCACCATGCCGGTGCTCTTCCAGGCACGGGTGCGCGTCGACCTGCACAGTGCTAGGTGGAGGGGCATAAATCGACACTCAGAAGAACAAAAAACAAAAACAAGGCGGCCGTATATACGTGTATGAGAAATCATACTTGTGTAGTTGTCAAACTACGAGTACATGACTATCAAAGCACTTGTCGCAGCCTTAGTATGTACTGGTAAGCATTGCATGTAAAAGCCTTGTTTAATAAAAATTGTTAACAAAATAGGGCCTCATTCATGTGTTAAACTGCCCCACAAAGACCTTCACAATAAAATAAAATGATATATTGAAAATGTTAATTGGTGTACCGGTAGTGAGAATTAAAACCTTTGGGCATTTAACATAGAGATCAGAGTATGCATAGGAGTCGTTCTTTTCCCTTTAAAATATTTTCTTTTTGCCATGGAGGTTAATACTCGAGGTGAGTTAATACTCGAGGTGGTCTAATCCAGGTAGGTAAACAAAGTGTTAGACAAGTACAGTGTAAGCAAACTAAAGGTATATTTCACTTACCAATAAGCTCTCTATCTTTTGCTTTGAATCTGGGCTGTAAACAGAAGGAAAAAAAGACGATTATCATCAGCATCCACAAAAAATATAAATTATGAAATAAGAAAGTTGTTTCGACTCTATGAATCAGTGACATTACAATTTGGCCTAAATAGTATAACATTCCCTTTTATGCAGCTTGTAAGTGTCAGCTTGCATGGTGATGTGGATATACAGTAGGCTTAATTGCGGGTGCACCATGTGAGAGAGAGAGGGAGGATTGAGGAGTCCTGAAAAGGACTCTCGGTAATCTTTCTTGAGGGTTTGTTAGTCCTGAAAATAGGATAGTCAACCTGTTCGAAACGTTGAGCTACTCCCGCTACTCATCCTCTCCAAGCGCTATAGTTCTCCTTAGAACTACAAGCTAAGAAAGATAACCAACAGTCTTTTTCAAGACTATACAAACAGTCCTTTTCAGGACTCCTCAATCCTCCTTCTCTCTCATATGGTGCACCCGCAAGCCTGTATATTCCCATTTATGTATAGTTAGTTCAACTTTTAAAAATCATATAGATCTGTCTTATGTGATTTTGTTTCCTTCATTTAAAGCAATTTGCCATGAAGGTTGGATTGGGCCTTAAATAAAGTTATTAGGCCTAGATGATATGGTGAGATGTACATACCGGTAGGCCTATCCTCCAATTCATCTCTTCATACATATATTTTGACAAAATTTAATATGTTCAATGCCTGATAAATCACAAAATCTACAGTAATTACACAATTAACAATTTTAATGCAGAATCAAAACACTATCTCTTCAACACACCGCACAGTACAAGATACACACAAAAGTATGAACTTCACTTCACATGAATTTTAGGAGAGTCATAAATATGTATACATGCCTACATCATACATACATACTCCAACATACAAGTTACATACAACATACTCCTCCTACCAAACCATACCATATAGCCCCCCCCCCCCAAAAAAAAAAAAAAAAAAACCTAATATTACTTATTATGACAATGACCTACATTATAATCCAAAATGGCGGCCTGAATGATTTACCTGACTAATATGAAAAAAATTACAAGTCCAAATTATAATCAATTTGGCGACGCCTGGCGGCTGTCATCCTTTTACTGAATATAATATCTTGCCAAATTCATGAAAAAACTCACCTGATAATATCGAAACAAACTCAAATTCAAAATCATGAAAAAACACTTAATATCAACAAACATGTAGTCTACAACAACTCCAAATGCAAAATAATCCCAGCTTTGCATTACTTTATAGTATTTGATAGCCCAAATCTTGACAATTTTCTGCATTCCCCCCCCCCCCCAAAAAAAAATCATTTTCATTGATCGGCGATCAGAATTTAATATCCCATTTCACCTGATCGGCCTACGATCGGCCCCTGATCCGATTATCGGTTACAGGGTTAACAGTACTTAGTCATGCTATTTGCTTCTAATATCCTGGTCATAATACACCTGAAAATTCCTGATATAATATACAGGTATCAAATGTACATTTGTATGTAGACTGTAGAGTGTTAACTTTTGAATATCAATGAAAATATTCTTTACATCCTGGATCAAAAGTGATACTGATTGTTTGGTTAGTGTATCCATAGTACATGTAAACACAGATGATTGGCAGAGAGAAATGATTCATGGAGATTACATTATAATACTATCCATGGAGCCTTGCTAAGCGAATATATACAGTACTCGTAAGCAAATTCCGGTAGGATGCGACCGTCATTGTTGGTCAAACAGTTTTTGAGCGTCAAGGGAGTGGAGATTGTGCACACAGTGTGTGCCAGCAAGTATTGAATCTAATGACCGGGGTTATAGTACATCTGTAATGCGCTTATAAAAGCGGAATATTATTTTTATTATATTATTATTTCTCCATGCCTTTGCCCAGATTATATGATTTGTATCATATTGTGTGCATGACATTTCACAAAATCTGTTATGAACTTTGAAGAATTGATACTATTTTCTGAATATTGTATTCATAATCATTAATTTGTATATAAATACATGTACACTACAGTTGCTTATCAAAATTCAGGTTTTTCTTGATTTAACTGAAAAAATTACTCTATATTAGTGCATCTACACACAAAAATGCGTTATAACTTGGATGCTGGTGTGAGGAAAAAAGATTTTTAGGGGGAAAATGGAAAATTTATATTATCAATATAAAGAAAACAATTAGTGGATAGTGAGGCAATGACGTCACAGATTCATGAGTGAGTTGCCAATTTGTCTTGTGATTTTCAAAGTTTTTCAAGTCATTAAAAATTTATAACTTTCTTATTCAAACTGTTTTTGATTTACATTTCTTTACATTTAAATGAAAGAAAACAAAATGACCATGCAACTGCAAAGGGCAATGTCTAAATAATTCTGTCAATAAATTTGCTTCCACAAACATTTTGACCTTTTTTTCAAAAATGTAAAAAAAAAAATTATGATCATAACCAGGGATAGGTGAGTTTTAAACTCACATATCCCTGATCATAACTAAGCCAATATTTTTCATTTTACTGATTTGCAAAATCATAAAATATTGAAAAGGTTTATAATTAAAAATAACTCCATTGTAACATGATCTACAACATGAATCTATTTCTCAACTTGTCACATGTAGTGAAGAGAAAATCTTGCAAACTTTTGATTGAGAACACCTGGCACTAGACAATGAGCATTTTCCAGCCCTGAAGTGTATGGATGAAAGGATGGGAAATAATATTTCACTCCAGTTATCTATTCTCCTTCATTGCATTAGGGAAGTCCATCCAGATAATTAGCTGGTTTTAATAAGAGCAGAGATACTGAAGAAACATAATAGTGACACTTTGAGTAATATCAAAATAAAAAATAGGAAAGTAATGAATTGGCAATACTGCAACATTTCTTGAGAGGTCCTCTCAAACTTGCTCTGTACATAAAATTGTGTAAACTTTCATTATGACACGGAATAGATCTGTACAATTGTATAAATCATATGTCCAATAATTATAATTAAGGTGCATGTATGATTGGAAATTTTCTTTAGAGCAAAAATAGAAAATATTTTTTTAGGGAGGGGACATCCCACCCTATACGTCACTCATTTTTCTGCTTCTATGAAAACTAACAATATCAGGGTGGACTTCCCCTGGAAGTTAAAGAAAGAAGTATGACAATCTGATTTACTAGTGGCTCGATACATATATATTTTCTTTGTACATTCAGACCATAGAAATACAGTTTTCACAGAATAACCAGAATGTTTACATTTGGAAAATTTCTCATGTCTTAGTTGCAATGATATACGTTGTATACTACAGGGTTATAGGCCTACATGTAGATGTTTCCTGAATATGAGTACATAATCCTCCATCTATGACATGAGCCTGAGGCATTTTTTGAAGAATAAGTCATTAATTTAGTGAGGAAAATGCAGTAATAATGGCCTTCTCATGAAGAGGAAAAAAAATTGTAGATTCTCCCTGCCATAAACCAAACACTGAAGAGGCATACTTGCGCCTACTCGCTTTAATACACAACAGCATGTACACAGAGCACTGTCGTATATACAATGTAATTTTAGGTCGCCGCCATTCATATGAGCTAGCACACATGAACGTGAGCTGAGCAATGCATGCATGCTACACAATCACATCAAAACAAAGAGCTTTCAACACACATACACACAGTATACACACCCTAACTCAAGCTAAGAAGCTGCCTAACACTAGGGAGATGTGAGATTTGTAGCACAAGTGGCTTGATATATTGACCCTCCTTTTAAAATTCATGGTTTCCAAGAAATCAATTTTTGTAGATTTACATATATGTCAATGATGATCACATACAACATCACTCTGTTTCCATCTGAAGAGTCTTCAACACTAAATTGTAGAAAATTAACAAACCAGTGATGGCGAACTGTGACATGTTATCTGTTTGGTATTGATCAATCATATCTTGCTTAACTTTGAAATATTTCAATAAATACATTATGTGTGCTTCTCTGCTCTTACCAAAACATTTCCTGTGAATAGTGCTACTTCCTGATCCTTAAAGGCAGTAAACAATCATTTCTTGTACAGCTAAATATCAACATGTGGGTCATGTATGCTAATTTTATGTAGTGTCCACTAGTTTCATGCAGGGTCGGTGAGTTTTAAATGGTGAATTTCTGTTTGGTCTACAATGGTCTACAACCAGTATGTCTACTAACCAAACAGTCTATTCCCACATGGTCTACACAAAGCCTGTCTACTATCCACATGGTCTCAAAATCATTAAATATATACTTATCATTTGGTCTAATGACCAATTAGACTAATAGTCATTTGGTCTAATCTCCATTTAGTCTAATCTCCAATAAATCTACGACCCATTTGGTTAATCACTCATTTGGTCTAATTGCCAGTCTGGTCTAATTCCCAGTTTGTCCATGTCTAATTTATCTACTATCCATACCGTCTGATAATAATTCATCATCAAATGATTATTAGACCTTTAATATGGATGGTGGACGAAATGGGAATCTGAAAAACTGGAAACTATATTTCTCAAAATAACCTCATGACCTCAACTATAGTACACGTACAATGTATGCATGCACATTTTAATAGAACATCTTTGATTTCTTAAAATGTTTTAAAAATTGGAGAACCAAAAACCTAATTCAAAAACAATAAATCATCATTCATTCAAGCAAATAAGCCAATTTAATACATGCATGGGGTCATCATTATCTTTCTTTCTTCACAAATGTAGGTCTATACTAATCATTCTGGAAATTACAGGCCCTTTGATTGTCTCAAATACAATTTTACACCTTCATTCAAAATTTGTACGAAATCCCTTGAGAAATGTGGCCTATGTAGAGCACATACAATTTTTAAGTTATGCATCCAACCAAAATTGTTGACATTTTCAACAGGGGAGAGGGGGGGGGGGGGCTGAAGCTTCTTGCCCGAATATCAATTTTTCGGTTTCAGAATTTGGCAAGCGAGCAAAGCTAGCGAGCACA